GAGCGTCGTCTGCTAGGTGAAAGAGGATGAAAAGGGAACGCAATAAAGTTATCGATGACAACATAGTAAGAGGAGGTATTTTAACACATTGAGAATATAAAGATCAACCCAGTTAGGCATGAACTCAGTAAATTCAATTTGTTTGAATGTTTTTATCTTGAACCCAGTGTACAAGGCATATTTATCAGGTCAAATCAATGCAAGCATTGATATTTATTAAATAAAAAATTCATGGCAAAGATGTCATACAGGCGGGGTATAGGCAAGGTATGTTAGGTATCAATTCTATATTGTAAATCTGGTGAATAATTTATTTGCTTCCAATTCTAACAAGATGCACTCCAATTTTAGCAGTACAGTATTGGCAAAAGTAGATGAAACATATGTGAGCATAATTGAAGAATTAGATGAAAAGCCAATCAGATATAAAAAACCAAAGTCTCTATATCATGAATTTATTTAACATCACATACATTGTATATATGTCATATGTCACCTTTCTCTTTTCATTTCCTGGGGTTATCATCTCTGTCACTGCTCTTAATTCCACACCAGTAACTTCAAAGTTACAAATAATATTGTTAATTTTGGTCCATTGATCATAGCATGAGAACATGAATTATTTAACTGCTGAATAATTCATGAATGGGGTGATTCATCCTAATTTTGTGTATAGGACCATTCCCTTGATCTGCTGCACAGCATTGAGTATAATTCTATTTTTGTTCAATGCGTTTTGGGCGTTCGCTATTACTTTTATATTAGTGGAGATATATCACTCTTCATTTGCTCAATAAAGATCTGAAGTATTTCTTTGAAATTGAAGATTCAAGGCTTGCACTCAATAAGCACTTGCATTGGTGCCTCGCCAAATGACCGAACTGCCCAAGGATGGATCCGCCGTACGACCATCAGAAACCTTTGAAAAATGTCCTGCCCAACAACCATTGTCCCACCTAGCGACCATTTGTCACTAAGCCGGCAACCCCAATTTTGTAAAGAAATTTTTTTCTCCATCACAAAATGCCCTACTAACTTATGTTTTACATTCTTTCAGAGAATTAAGCGCAAAACAAAGTGAAAGATAATAGTGAATTTAAGGATGGTGCCAAAGAAAGGCGAAAAACAAAAGATGAATTCCATCTGTCAGGAAATTCATTCACTTCCTTTCTCACTTAATTCTCTAAAAAAATGTAAAAAATGAGTTAGAAATGCAATACCTGGGGAAAAAAATTCAAATAAAAATTGGAGTTGCCCACCTAACAAACATTTTCTGGCCTTCCCTTGAACAAATTAATATAGAAGAAAATTTTTTTCAATGCTGTTGTTTCTTCTTCACAACAAAAATGGTTGTTTCTCAAGCATTTTTGTTGAGGAAAAGTGAGAAAGAATGGGAGAAAATTCTAATTGGTGATTTTCTAGACCTAAAATTGCTTGATGTACCTCATGCAAAAGTGACATCTATGCGAAATTATGCAGAAAGGTTGACTCCTGCATAACTCATAGATGTTGCAAATGCATGAAGTACAACTGCTAATTTCATGGGTTAATTTTTGAAAGATAGCAAGGCAATTTAATGAGGAAAAAAATTTGTATGAACTATGGCACTGTTTTTAGGGATCTGTGCTTTGTTATTTGACAATTTAGGCAAGTTCTTATATTTTTCTGCCAGAATTTTTTTTCTCAGAAGAACCAATTACAGTATTTAGTTTTACATTAATCCTTAAGGGAAAACGTGATCTGCCTTACAACTGTTTCACCAAACTACCACGGTTAAGGAACAAATTGTGGTTGTTAGGCAAGGCACCACTGCCTCGCCTAACATGATAATTCAGCAGGACTAAATTTCAATCGGAAATGTATGTTTCTGATTGAAATTTAGTCATGCTTCTTTCACATTGTAACCAAATGACCTGATCTGCTTGAGATAATTTCAGGAATTCCGCTGGGAGTTTTTTAGCTTTGGAAATGGTGTAAATAGAGGGTATATAGATGTTATAGCATATTACCTGCAGTAGTATTGATTCAAGTACAGTACTGAAAATTGTTAGAGGGGGGGGATTTTAGAAGTTGATGTAGAAGGAGTAGTGAGTGAATGCTAAATTGAATAGAATAAAATATTTTTGTGGTTTCTTTTGTCTAGTTCATAGGGATATCTTTCCTTTCACTGGCAGGTTTCCTCAGGAGAATAGAAATCCTCTAATGGCTTCTTAAATTTAAGATTTAACAGAATAATACCAGCAGTGATGCCAACAAGCATGCTTCATCTTTGTCTGTTTCATCATAGGCAAAGGCAATCGGAAATGAGTTTTCAGCAAGTTTACAACTGTATTTCACAGCTTTTCTCTTAGCACTCATGGGTTTTTATCTGGTTGATCTATTACAGTGTTTTCTGTAGGTTGTTTGTTCTGCTCTTGGGACACGCATTCCTAAGATGATTAGACTGGGGTATGAATCAAAATTTACACTCAACAATTCTCAGGTGGGTTACTTTCAACTTCACATTTTCTGTTTTCTTATATCATTGGTTTACAATATAAAAACCTGTGCTCCTTGATCCTGTGTCCTCTTGAGTCTTGACTGTTGGCAGCAATACATCAAACCTGCAGTTTTCCCTCTCAGTAAAATAGTCTCCATCTTTCCTAGACAGAACTTCATTGCTCTCCTCTCTGTGCAGAATTTCTAGTCTTTCCCTGGGGCAAGAATCTTTCTCTTCAAAATGGCCCATCCTTTTTTGAAATTTTTCCACCTTATGTTTTATGTGATGTCTGACACATCATCTGTTACTACAGCATTCCCCAGCACAACAAAATGAGTACCACAGCACCAAATTCTGTTGTCTTAAAATTGGTTTTGCAGAGAGCATGACCTAATTTGCCCTGACACCAACTCTGAAGGATGTATCCTTACATTGTAAGGATAACCTTATGATGCAGAATTTCAGTTATGTGATTTGGGGCCTTTCATCATTTTGGGGAGCTATCTCAAAGGTCAGTGGAATGATTAGAACATTAATATTCTGAGATACCATTCTTTTCCGAGAACAATGTTTCCCAGACTGCTTGATATTAAAAAAGATCAACAAGGTTGCACTACATGCGCCACCTTCCCACATTATTGAGCATAGGTATAGCCCTGGACAACCAGCAGTAGACCCATGATGGGGCTCAGGAAAGTTCCAACATTTCCTTTTGGGATACTGGCCAACAGATAATGAACTTTGCTGGTCCGCAGAATTTTTTTTCAATTTGCCAGTATCCGAAACATTTTTAAGAAATTTGAATTTGCTGGTGTGGGCCCAATAAGGTTGGGCACCTCAGCTTCTAGAACTCAAAGGCTCCGTTCACAAAAATGCTCATCAAGAGGGTTCTCCATTGCTGCACAGTTTATACTGATATATCTTGGCGGCGAAACATAAAACAATCTAATAAAATTCATTGTGCCTGAAAGATCAAAAACATCAACGGCTCTTGTAAAATCCAATACACTGAAACAGTTCTGGATCATCAGCACTGGGCATCAGGAAATCAAAATGCGTTCATCCTCTATAACACTGTTCTTTTCCTCAGCGATCTTCCCTCCCGGCTTCAACATCAAGGGTTGCCGAACGAGGCAACCAGAAAACAACAAGCTCTGAGGGGGGAAAAAAGACTAACAATCTAACCCTTCAAAGAGGAGTTCACAAAAAAATCATTTCAGGCTTAGGTGAGAACCTGTTTTTGATCAGTACCACCACCGAAATTTCCCTCCGGCACAGGGCATGGCGCAGATCACTCACGAATAAAAACGAAAAAATATTGACCAGAACAATTCGGAAAACGAACGAATGGACGCCACGGCGGCGCAGAAGAGGAAAGAAGAAAATCGAATCCAAGGAGAAAACATTACCAAATGATCACGACACATTTCAATGAGGAACAGTTTAAGTTAGACACGCGAAGTGAGTTTTCCACTCGAGTCATTTTTTTGAAAGTATCAGGCCGCAGTAGTGCTGTCGCAGCCCGCGAGACGCCAAATAAATCAACGAAGCTCAACAAAGTTTACAAAATACGGTGTCCCCCAAAGTCACAACTCTCTAGTCTTTCAACGACCCACGCATTCTATTGAAAATCACACTGAAACTATGGCCTGTAAAACTTTAAATTGGAAAGATCGAAGGTATAACTAACCCCACGATCACCGATATACATCGGAACGATTATAATACTTACGACACGAAAACCTCATTACCGGCTCATCACTCAAACAAAACAAAAAAACGCTTGAAAAATAATTTACATGAACACATCCGAGAAACAGATACAACAATAAATAAGTCAGTGCAAGGCCAACCTTTATAATGCTGTTCTCATAAGTTATCGAACTAAGGAAAAAGGGAGACAGACGAACTGCTTCGACGCAGGATGAGAGCATTGTACTGTACCGAGTGTGTTCAGCTTTCGCATCACAGGCTACGACAGCACCAGGTTTCAGTTCCTATATACCGGGACTTTTTATTTTATTTTTTTTAGCGGTTTCGATGATGAGAACTCCAGGGGTGAAAAAAAAATGTTGAAAAGCGCAACAGAATTCTCAATAAGAGCCCTACTCTGCCTGCATCACCACTCGCCCGCGTCGTCGCCCATCGACACACTTGGGTATCGCACTGCAACCCTCGAGCCCCTCCGCTGATAAAACAACACGTAGCCCGACTTGGACACCACGTCGCTCTCGCTGACCCGCGACACGGACGAGTCGTCAAAGTGATACCAATGGCCGTCGTCCTTGTTCCGGCAGTAGGACGTGTAATGGCCGCCGCCGAGACCGCCATAGTGGTTGCTCACGCCGATCAGGTCGTAAACTGGGTCCGGGTGTCGCGGGGCGATCACGAACTCGCTCAGATCCAAGCTACGGGTCGGATAGTCCACAAAGGCCTCGATCTTGTCTCGACTGTGGCGAGTGTAAGAGAACCGCTTCAGCTGCACGATTAGAATGTCCGGCAGCGACCAAATGTCGATTTTCTTCGTGGCTTCTTGGTGAACTTTACACTTCGGACAGTACCAGGCGTTGTCTCCGCGGAGCGTTTCCGTCGTCGTGAAGAGTCGGAAACAATCCTTGAATAAAACGCGGAGAAGTCGATTTTCGATTCTTTCCAAGAAAAATTCTACTTTTAAATATAAAATTAAATACTGTGATTCTCCGACAACTCACATGCTGCGACACCTTGATTAATTTTCCTCTCTCTACGATTTCATAATTCTTCCTGCACATATATTGAGAATTGAGTGGAACAGACGAGGGAAGAAACCAATTTGCTCTCATCATTCTTGATTGCAAGATTTCTTGAGAGACATCAAAACTCTGATTTAAATATTATGCTTACATTTTTCAAATTTAGGAAGAAATATACGGTACAGTACTTCGGCTACTTCAGCAATTTTAGTACATATTTTAATTGTTATTTCATCAATGCCAGACTTGTACAGCAAGTCATGAACAGTTCATCCTAAAAATTCGTCATGACTTGGACAATTTGAGAAGAATATACAGGTATTACGTCAACACATTTCGAATAATAAACCCACAAATAAAATACCTCGTATCATCACAGTTATAGGAGTATGAAAAACTAAAATTTAATTTAAAAGATTTTTCAATTTATTGAATCGATAAAAAGAATCAATTGTTTGAAGCCAAATGCAAAACAACTCCATAATACTGTACAGGGAAAAGTACTGTATTACCTTCTCGTGTAAACCTTGTAAATAATTGCAAAAAATTCGAGAAAATATTTTACTGCCTTTTACTGATTCACTCATCCGTCAGGGAACGTGTGAATAAAAACTTGTAAAAAATATTAAATTCTTCCAGTTTTCCATTTGGTGACTTGTCAATGTGCGATTTGTCCCGTTGATCCATTTAAGCATTTTTAATATACAGTACTTCACATAATTTGGGACGTTTAGTGTGCCAAACCATGTAAAAAAAAAAAACGGGCCTTCGGCGATAACAAAGAAACTTTCCTATTCGGTAGGAAGGTAATTGAAACACAGGTTATACCTTGAGACCAATCGGCTTCTTTGGACTGTAAAGAATTGACTGTCGTTGGGTGTACTCCGTGAAAGCGGCTTCGTTCAAAACACGTCGTACCAACGCTTCCTCTTTCCAGTTCAGCCACAATTCGTAATCTTCTCCTTCCAAAAACTCGACTGGCTCGTTATCCGTCAGTTCCTGTACGTTTTTACCATGGCCGGTGCTCAGGGATAAGGAGAAGTCCGATTCGCCCGTGTCCATTTGATCAGACGGCTTGTAAATCCGCTCCATTTTTCTTACCAATGCTTCGACCACCTTCGGATTTCGAATTTATCAGACTCAACACGAGACAATTCAACCCGTATTTCATTTTAAAAAAAAGGCGGCTGAAGGAGAATCAGAAAATGCATAAATTTGGAATACCAAAAAGTAAGGAAATTTCGCAATGACAAACGGGATTTTCACCTCCGCCGTTGTGGTCCGCTTCGGCACGCAAACGAAAAACGGCACACCGAAACTCGTCATTGTCTTCGTCGACTTCCTACGGCACTTGACCGCAACAGAAAACAAATCCTTGTCCACTTCGTAGATGTGAAGTTTCTCTCTATCGGGCAGATCGGACAACCGATCCGTCGGTTTCAGAATACGCGAGAAGGATCCAACGGACACCAGCGCAAACCGGGCAGCTTCCACATGCACTTTGCCCGAGGCCAGGACGTCGATCACGTCCTTGAGAAGGGCGTCTCGTGACACAGATAATCGATACTCGACAGGGCTCGCAGCACCTTCCTTCGGCACGAGAAGAACGGTGATGGTTCGCTCTCGTTGGAACGGCAGAGGCAAAGCATACGGGGGGTTTGGATCAAACGTCACGGACACCTAGCATTTTGAAAAAAAAAAAAAAAAAGGTAAAAAAAGCTTCCTCATCATGGAAAAAGGAAAAATTCCCCTCGCAGATCGAAATCAGCTAAACCATCTCTCGTGAGATCTTCTGACATTCCCATCAAATCGCCGACAGTGCGTTTCGCAAAAAGAGACATGTTGCAAATCTCACAGTCAGTCTCAAAATTTTGAAAGCATTCGTCAACAAGAATATTCCGCTACTACGGATCTCGTCATAAGGAATTTTTTCTTGGTTCCAGCAATTTCTTATTGGGAACAATGTTATTAACATTTTCCTGCAACGAAATAATTTTTCTCTGTAATCTCGCAATAATAATTTGTGCCTTGATAATCTGTGTATGGGTCATGGCAATTTTAACATATTGACATAATAAGGGAAACCCCAACTTGAGCGTGATTGAAAAACCTTAAAAAAATTCAACTGCTAATCTTGTTGTACCAAGAATTAGCATTGCAGGAAGTATGAAGCTCCGATTCTAATTCTATCAGGTTCATTTATAATTTGGAAATGGGTGATTTATATTTTAGAGGAAAGTATGCTTGGAAGGATACTGCTCTATATCAAGGAACACCCAGTTCTTCGTGAATAAATGACCTTCGTATACATGTATTTCCTGTTAGATTCAACTTATACTTTTGTAAGTTCAGTTTCATTTTTGAAAATTTAAGAAAAGGAAGGCTGAAATAAGAGAATAATATTTCATACTTCGAACTTTCTTGATAATTTCATCAACAGTAGTTGGAAATGCGAGTAATTCTTCACAAATTTGTTGTGGAAATACAGTACTTTCAATCAATTACTGCATTTCCCACAAACTTTCAGTCCCATACGCTCAAAAATCTGTTCTAAATTTCCATCAATACGAATTTTTCCTCCGGTCCCTGGTATTCCGACGTAGCGAGATTTTCACGTCGACCCACAACCTATTCAGGTAACTTTCCAACGACTATCATTTTATTTCGAATATTCAATGGTGCTGAAAAACCTTCAGCACAGCAGAAGAAAATGAATTTCATGAAAATTCGTTTCCATCATCTTTTTACACACCTTGCCGCACTCAGGACAGACAACCGTGGACTTGAGCAAGCCATGGAAGATTTGAACCATGATAGAGTCGTTTCTTTTGAGGTAGTTATCCCAGGCTTCGCGAGCAACCACATCGTCGGAACGCCCGTCTGCTTCTCGCAGTTCAATATAGGGCTTACTACGGATTCGGTTCAAATCTTCGTGCAACCCGTCGAGTAGAAAGATGAGCAGCTCATGCGCATCATGCTGCAGACAACCCGAGAACTGAGGCGCAAATCTGCTGACCTAAGAAAGAAAAGTAAACCATCGATTCCTTCTTCCAAAGCAACGCATCTCATAAAAGTTACACAAAAATCCGGAATGATCCTTTGAATTTTATCAGAATTCGACATCACGAACCTGCATTTTGAAGTTGCGAGGGGAGACGGAACTGTTGTCGCCACTCCATATCACTTTCAGGAGGTCGCCGTAGCTAACGGCAAGTGCCCCCTGGGTTCCCAAAGGGTTGTTTCTGTTCAACTCTTCCAAATGTTTCTCAGACAAAAAATACGCAGTGACTGGCGGCGTGTTGCTCATACACTGTAGCACACTGTTCATGAAGCAGGTGTTTCCTAAATTTTGCAACCCACAAATGCCTGGCTGAGACCTGGAAATAGTAATTCAAAATCCCCCCGCATATTACGAATACGGAGATGCGGTCATTTACATGGTTACTAAAGAAGTACTGCACTACTGCACTGTAACTCACATTTCATCAAAAGACTACATGAGCAGTCAACGTGCGGGAAGAAATTCAGATTTTCCGGAAATTTCAATTACTATACATCATAAATACTGCACAGTAACAAAAAGTAACCGTCATTACCTTCAACATCTTCAGAATTCATGGAAACCCACATCTTACAAACAAATCCGAAACCAGGTTGCGTCGGATGGGTGAGATCAAGGGAACGCGTTCAATAAAACCATATAAAAGATATCGTTCACAATTCATAGCGTTGATCATTTTGAATTCCCCCAGACTTTGATCCATGCAATTAAGGCCTATCTTCGATTATTTTTGTCAAAATTCACTAAAAAAAAACATTCGACCCTCGCACATTTTCCGACGCTCAATATTTAAGGCTATTGATTGAGATGCTGACGTGCAACAAAATGGAGAAGGTTTCGTCATTCGGCTCATTCAGGTTCACCGGCATTTCTGAAGCGAGGGTGAAAAACGTGAAAGGTGCGGTTTTCTCAGTGCACGTACCGATGTCTATTCCTTGAGTCTTTGGTGTGTTCGAGTAGCCTCTGCAGAGGCCATGACCCATTCTTCTTCACTTCCAGGATGATGGTGTCGCCGTCGTTCACCTCGGCGCTTTCCAATGGAGAAGACCAATTGGTGAGGGCTTTGAATTCTCGCGGGTCTGCAGTATGAAGCCACACACGTGCGTCTTCCGTCGCAGATACGCCAAAACGATTTTGCAATTCACGACGCAAACCCGACACAGTCTCCACGACAGAGCACTCGGCTTCTTGCCCGTTCTCCGTCGTATTGTGGCAGAGCTTCAAGTGTAACTTGTAAACCTAGAAACAGATTTGAAGGATTCCTCAAAAAATCAAAGGTACGAAGTTCCAAACTTAGCGCGTCAAGATTCAGAACGATGATCAAATTTCAAAATTTTTTTTTTTTGACGAACCAGGCCGTCATTGAGGGAAATACTCGCGGTTCAAATCACGGTTAAAATAATGAAGGCTGCGGATTCCCCCTTGGACCAACAGAAAATTCTCAGGAAAAATGAAGGTTGTAAAGCACTGATTCAACATACAGCAAAATATCGCTACAATGAAATCCTGGGGACCTGATGAAAATTGTGTTATGAAGAAGATGGTTTTGTATTAGGATTCTGGGTTTTAAAAAATTTCAGACTAAAATTTCGAGGGAAATGGGTAATGAATACTGGGAAGTGCTTCTACAACAGAAATCCATGATTGTTCATGAATTTATGTGGCTCGCATAAAATAAAGAATATCAATTTTGTGCAGCACTTTTCATTTATTGACTCTGCCTTCCACTTATGTGCTGTTTGTATTTAAAAAAATGAAAGAAGTATATATGAGAGAATCACTTTGTTCCATATCAACTTATTAGTTCATACCCGTTTGTTCTTTGAAATAGGTAGAAGATTCCTTCTGTTAAACTACTTATTTGAAAGAAAGGCATACATCCTTTAGTGGAGCTACAGAACTTCCAAGAAATGGCATTTTTTGTATTTTTATTGAACACAAAATTTTGTCAACAGAAAGGTTGGCTTCTTTGATGAAGTTTGAATGATACACAAGTTAAACTTTTTCCGTCAATTTTCAAAGAAATCCTGAAGTCTAAATATGCAGAAAATCAGGGCTTACATAGTACTGAGATTATAACCTAAAACGAAGTTTTTAAAATGCAAAGTTTTACGATCTGGCGTCCATGGAGAAATTGCTGGGACCAGCAAGAAAATTAGTCATCACGGAATTTCACAGCATCAAAACCAACTAATTCGATATTCAACATCATCGTTATTTTTCCTCAAGGCAAAACAGAATCGGGCTTTACTGAAAACCAACAAGACACACGAAGCTATATTCTCAGGACAATTAACAACCTCGACTCAATTCTATGTCCTCCCCAAAGTTGGAGTTCGATGTAAAAAAAAAAAAAAAAAAAAAAACGAAGAAAAAAAGATTAGCTCACCTCGACACGAGTGGTGCGAGAGTCGCCGGTTTCAATGACTTGACGCGGCAATTCCCCGTACGTCTTATCGACGCCGAAAGCGGCGACCAAGGCATGCCACGTCCGCTCGGGCACAAGCACGTAATCGTCCTGATCCACCAAACACGGCTTCAGGCGGCCATTCGCCGCCATCAGTGACCGATTGCTAATCGGGCCCGGGTGAGAGTCGCCCAATACGGTGGCGGAACTCAGTCCCGAGTACGCCTTGAATTTCTGAAACCAGTCCATGGCCACCAGGAACCACGTCTCACCCACAACGAGCGGGGCGTCCATGGACGCCATGATCTTCCTGGCGTCGATCTGCGGCGCCTCCGAATCCAACATTGTCATATTGTTTCCCCACTGAAATGGCGAAAAAGAAGCCCCATCACTGTAGATGCGTCATCCGCAATAAACTTCATTTCAAATAATCTTTATCCCAGTGCAAGGAATAATTCAATCAAAAAACATTAAAATCAACGAAAACCAAGAAGTCCAATTACAGATATTACTTCCATTTTTGGAGTATTTCAACGAATAATCCATTCCCTGCCAGACTTCACCTTCAATATTAAGGTCTGACATCCTTCGTTTTTCCAGGACATCTAAAATGATTTTCCGCATAATTTTTGAACAAAAAATCCATTGAAAAAATTGAAAAAACCAATATAAATTAATCTTAACTAAACTATCTTATCTGCTCCAAGTACCATGCATCCTTGTATAAGAATGGCAAAACGGTTTTTTTGTCAAAAATTTTCATAAAATTTAATATACAGTACTATCCCTGAGTTAGACACACACCACATTTTTTAGTGACTGTAAAACTACAAGATTTCAAAGATGCGAACATCCAATTCGAATTTAGGCATCAACTGACCAGGCATTCAAATCATTTTCGATTACAGTACTTCTATTACATTGAGTTTTTATGCTAAAATTCGTCGGAAATTTCCAATTAGAATCGAACATAATGCATACAAATATTTTTTTAACTTTTTTAAAATGTATACTGTCTATTATTGACACTCCCTTTTTACTCTCAATTTTGAGAAAAAGGTGTGCGTGTAACTAGAAGAAATATAACCAAAACTGACTTAACCAAGCCTACACTGACATCAAAAATCAAATAGCCTAGCAAAAAAATGAAATCACCAAACCGAAACTAATGTTTCGACCAAATTCAAACAATTTTAAACTTGAACAAAGCTGTAACTCTTTACTTTGCTTGAAACAGAAGATAGTTGTCCCCAATCAGCAAAGGATGAAAGGTCGCTGGGTGAGGTGTGGAACGATTTTTTTGTTCGAACTTGACCTCGTGCGATATAAAATTACCTGCACGACCTCGTAAAGTAAAAATTAATTCACTCAAAATATCATCACCGTAACTTTCACAAGGTTTAGCTATGGCAATGAAAAAAAATATATGTACCTGAGTTGCGGAGCAGATATATACACCAGCAGATTCCGTCGACCAGCAAACACGCAAAAATAACGAGGTATGTTGTAAAAAATAAATTAACTCTCCGTAATCATAAAAAAGACTAAATCTGGAGCGCTCGTAGCGACGCCCGCGACGGGAAAATAAGACACAGGACACTCATCACAGGGCAACGTCACCCGAACCGTCACTGTTTTCCACACCTGAATTCAACAGAAAACAACTCTGCAGAAAATTCGTCTTCTACCCTCGGAGGCAAGCTTCATCAGATAAAATAAACTCAGCATTGGCACATTTCTCATCATTTTTCCACTTCGCAGGATTCGCGCAGCAACCCTAACACCATGATTCAATCTCAACAGCTGGCACACACTTACAAAACAATATTCACCCCCCGCGCTGAGAATCCCGACATGAAAAAAAAAAAGAAACTTAGAGAACTGTTCCAAGAAGAAAAATAAGGCGGAAGTGAAAATTGTCGGTTTTTCAGACGAGACATCACAGCTTGAACCAACACCGGGGAAAGAAAGAATGACATCCTCTGACGCTATTCTCAGATCACTCGATATTTAAATAGAAGAGAAGTTGAGAAGTGTGTCAAGGTCAAAAAAACAAAAGAAATATGAGGGGAAAAAAACACTCAATGCCGCGCAACCGAAGTAGCTTCTTTGATTTACGAAATACAGAACCCTCTCGAAATAGTTCCCGTTCGGAATGCCTGGGACAATGAACTATGGGCAAAAGTGTATGCAAAAAATTTGTACCGATGCTAATGGAACAGAGCAGCGCAGGCATATTCAAGCGAAATCAGCCATCAACGATACTTTCATCGCCAGGATTTTCTAATTATTCTTGCTATAATATTCAGCACGTCACAGCCTGTCGCGAATTCAACAATGACCGACGAGTCATGCATTAAAATCCACATTTCCTATGTGCATACCAATTATCATAATTATTTTGTAATTGTGCTCAGGTAAACAACGGAGAGAAACAGTGATTGAAGAGACGCCGCTTGTATCACGATGACTCATCTTCGGTGGTGTATGCTCACTTCATCTCTCAAACTACGCTCCATCCGAATAAATCCAAAAATTAGCCTGGAATTCTAACGTATCAATCAACAGAAGACCGAAATGAAACGGTCACGCAAAAAACAGGCGACCTTCAGGACCGCTGCATTCTCGAACTCACCGGTAATCCATATACCACCACTAATTCGAAGACCAACACACACCTGATGCTCGACGAACCTAGATCAATTAAAGAAATCAAAGCATCTGCCATCAGTGCACAGTCGGGAACCGCAAGGCCCGCAGCTGGTGACCATAATCGCAGACGAGCAACCCAGGCTCAACGGAAACTATTTGTCGCACCGAAACGCACTCATCGCCGTCGCCAAGACGAACTATTCGAACGGCTTGTCCAAGAGTGACGTCCCACACGACTAGTGAGCCTTTCCGTGCGGTAACGAGCAGTTTGTTGGTCAGCATGATCATCGATCCGCTGTATGAGCAATCCTGGAAGAAAATCGATGCAAGAATTATCAATTCGTCTCCCATTCGATGACGACAAAATCTTGTTAAAACAAACTATCAGGGACCCGAGAAAAAAATTTGTTACAAAGAGATTCATGGTTTTTTTGAGGATCTAGGATTGAAATTTCTCGTGGAAAAAGAGTATGGATGTTTTATAGTACTTCTACAACATATATGTGAAGCATTGCCCGCATTCCCAACTTCTTTTAAAGAAATCATGGAGAAAATTCAAAATGTGAAATGCTATTATGTTTTTTAGACCTTCCCTTACTTAAATTTTCTTTTTAAAAATACACTGAACTTACGGAAGTATGAGCTGAAACAATCAGAAAATAAATGTGTAAAGATAAATCATTTTAATTAAGAAATGTAAGAGGGTTGTCCCAAAAATTTGGAAATGATCCCCTGCTCTTGGAAAAATGAACTTGCACTTAGGTCTTAATCTGTTGCAAACAAAATAAGAACTAAAAAATTTGAACTTTCAAAAAATGAAGAAAACATCATGAGCAAAAATTGACAAAAATTTTCAATTTTTTTGATTTACCAACAAATTCTCATCTCCCTGTCACATAGGCGGAGAACTGCACCAAAAACTGAAAAGTTTTAAATTATTATCATCTCAAAAATTGATTATTTTTGAAAGATCTGAAAAAATTCCCAGGACCTTAGATCTTCACGAGTTAAATCATGAAATTGTATTTGTAGTAGTACCCACTCTATCAATACCCCAGGCTATGTTCATGTGGGACAACCCTTATATGTTCCCTGAAATGGAGCAGTATCCTTCCAATCCAAACACACGTTTCATTCAGAGAGTTAGACGCATCCAAATTCTACAGTAACGCTGAATAAATTTCGATTCGGGCCTCATACTTCTCGCAATGCTTCATTTTCTATACAAAAAGATTAGCGTTTATATTTTTTAAGGTTATTCAATGATGAACAAGTTTGGTCTTCCCATATTATGCTCATTACTAAAAATGTACGTTGTCCATGCACACATGATCAAGGCAAAAATTCGTTATACTGAACTAAGATTATAAAGGAAAATTAGTTTCTTACATCGAAATTTTTACAACAATGTTCACTGAAAAAGCTAATGGTCCAAGAAAAAAGTGATATGCAACAAGATTCGTCAGAACGGAATTCCACTGCATAGTTTCCCGCTGAAAGAAAATGAGTTTACCAATTGAATTTCGTGCAAGAGGTGACCCTGAAAGCGCTCCCAGATCCGCAATGTGTCATCACCACCATACGTAACAATATATGCAGCTGTATACGTCATGGACGACACGACTCCATCATGCGCTTGGACCTGGTACACACAAAACCCTACAAAAAAGAGAAACTAGATTTAGAAAAACACGAATTTAAAAAAAACAGCGGATGTATTTCAGATGCTACCATCACTGCATGTTTCAACGAAACACATTAAAATAAAATGAAATTTTAAAATATTAAAAAGAAACAGATGAATCACATTTACTGATTCGAAGAATATACTTTTCTCTCGGTTTGAACAGATAAAATATCTCATAACTCGATAGTAACTAGTAACATAAGACATGTACAGTATATGATGACACTTGACTGGATCTTTAATACAGCAGCATCTCGGAAATTTATTTTACTGAGTGAAAGAAAGTTGGTTGTTTTTCCGAGTTTTCCAAATTTATCATTCCTCTTCGATAAATGGATAAAAAATAAAAACTGATGCACTACAGTATACGAAAATCGAAGCCATTGGGATCCGTGGAATAGATTTCTTGTAACGAGAAATTCGCTATTAAAGTATTACATTCTGGTTATTTAAAGGACCAAAAAATCACTTTGATGAAATCGATTATTCGTTATAACGAGATTCTACAGCAGTAATTCATCAAGAGTTCATCAATTGGAAGTACAGTACATGAAAATACAGCAAGAATGCTTTCTTACATAACATATCGTAGATCCCTATCCCAGGTCAACTTGAATGTACCGCAAAAGCAAATGGGGGTAAAGTACCGTTCAGTACAGTACAGTAAGGTTTTCATGAAGACCTTTCGAGCAAGGAATTGAAAGAGATGGCGCCAATTTTCAAACATGATTGGAATTTTTCGAACGGAGGAATAACATTTCATGATCGAATTTGAGAAAATGATGGTCGTAATTGTACACACCGAAGCATTGGGACATGCAATCAAAAAATTGAAAGAACCAAATAGAAAAATAGAGAGAACCTTACCGGAAGAGAGATCCCACATGCAAAGCATTCCGTCCTGCGAAGCCGTGCACGCCGAATTCGGCGCAACAGTGTCAACAAAAAGGGCCGTGATGGGCCCGCAGTGCCCATGAAACGTGAACATTGGTACTCCCGTGTCCACACGCGTCACTCGCACTGCGTGGTCCTGGCCTCCAGTCACCACACGCCCACCTTCACACATCATCACTGAAATAGGTTGCTGGTGAGCCAGAACCTCTGCGTACAGCTCCAGGAAAGGGGCTTCTTCCGTCGGCGGAGTCGACGAAGAGGAGCCTGTGAACAGGAACAACATCATCCTAATGATTTCATTTACCCCAGTGCCGTCAAACATACGGCCCACGGACAGGATCCGGCCCGCAGAGCCTTTTCATTCAACCTACGGTCCGTTCCCTTCAATTTTAAAGGTCGCAGCTGCAACTATTCAAAATATTAATTTCTGAAGTTCAAAATTTTGTTAAACCGAATATTTCCCCTAGGAAAAAAGAAAATTATATTATTTGGGAACCTGCAACATGCGATGCTTCTTTGACGCACATTCTAAAATGCTTCCGAGTGTGTTTAGAATAATTGGAGCAAATTTTCGGCCCTCACAAAACAAAACTCATCATAACCCTACTGTAAACAGTATCCCCTTCCCTAAATCAAAAAATTCCCGAATCGCCGACGGAATCCCACAGACACTTCTCCCAAAACAAAAATTGGTACAGAATTTTAAGGATTTTTGCACGATTATGGACGGGTAAATTTATAAATTGAAATGAACTAAACTCACCACATGAAGAGGTTGACAATGGCGGCTGCACCTCACAACTAAGAAACGTATAGGCGGGCTTTCTTGGTGACAATAACCTTTCTCCATAACTTCTGCTTCTCACGTGTCCCGCTGAACAACAAGAATATTGATTTTAAAACCATCCCATAGAAACTTTACGCTCCAACCATCAACTGAATGCGTTGATCAAGGGAACTAACCAGTCAAGGTCGAAATATCGTAAATTTCGGACAGACAACCAACCTTTTATCCGCGAAGGCCCACCGGCTTCTGAAGGTAGCGAAATTCCTCGCAATACGTAAAATTCGAGTTTTCCAGACAACCGGGCAACAATAACAACGAGCTTCGGTTCGTCGGCGCCTTTAAACTTCGACTTCACCAGGCTGATAGCCGTCACAGCCTCGTTTTGACCTCCCACTTTCTTCTCAGCGTAACACTAATAAAGTACACAGAACACAGACTCACATATCAGTTAACATGGAGATCATCATACACTAGCTCGAGAAGAAAATGAGATTCATTCGTCGATTTAAGTTATCATAACAAACGCAAGCCAGAGCCACAAATAGTACGGTTACGAGAATGAATACAGTTGAACCTCAAAAACTCGAACCTCTTCAAGTCGAATACATCCCCTTGTCAAATTTTTTTTGAGTCCCTGTCTGAATTCCCTTAGCAACAATGCATCGAAATCCTCCCCAGCTCGAGGGCTTCCCTCCTCAAACCTCCGTAGCTTGAATTTTCTGAAGGCCTTTTGGTAACTATTTCATTGACACAGGAGAGAGAAAAGCAGTAAAAAATAACCTGATGCGCTTTGAAAGGAAGTGAAGAATGGCTGGACAAATGAACCCGTGCTTCCCGTTCAGTATCCAGTCAACTCCTTCAGGAAGCAATTTGAGGTCCAGAATACTCCCAATTAAAATATCCTCTAATTCTTCTTTCTTCCCCTCCCAACCCCCGTTAAAAAGGCGCGCTTCCTCCTTAACTCGATTTTTTTGCGGGTCTTTTGAAGTACAGTACTGTAGTTCGACTCAAAGAGTTTCGACTTTAATTTGTGTCTCATCTCATACATGTATTACGTGCGTCTGTCCACCAGCAACGTCCCACACTTCCACGTCACCCGATGAACACCCGAGACCCACGAAATCCTCACAAATGCTCATCGCCCAAACGCAAGCCTTCCCGGCGTCGCATTGATCAGATTCGCTCCTGACGACGTCACCTAAACTTCGATTTCGCCTGTGGCGCAATTCACAGTCACCATCCTCGAGAAACGGAACTGCTCGATGAGTCCACGAGAAGTCCAGTGCCATTGTCGGTGTTGGCATTGATGACCGCTTGTTTCGCTGCCAAAGACGCTCCAAGGTGTCGTGAGACTGCGGCGAACCCGAACCATAGTCCGAGTCGTCACCCACTTCTCCGTCTAGATTGCACGTAGGGTCCTTATACCGACTTTGCCGCTCATCCACGGATTCTCTACAGAAAATACAAACAAGCAGTTGCGAAAGTTTCAGCTAATGAATTAAAAACGATTCGTAGCCAAGGTTCGAGATTTCGTTACAATAACACCATAACGATTGGAAACAAGGATTAACATAATAAATATCGGACGTCAGATCAAATGCTGAAGGAATGAGGCTTGCCGAAGACTGTCCAATTCAAGTGATGCAAACAAAACCCAACCTCGTTCACAAACTTCATATTTCAGAAGGTCTTCCAGTTTAAAAGGGGTCTAACACAACTACACACGTTTTCGGGATAGGAATTGGAAAGGCATCTGATTGAGCTGAAAAAACCGTATTGCTCACAAAAAGCATTCTTTGGGAAGAGGGAAAAAAATGCAGCCCTGTTTGATACATTTTTCGTAATTTTTTTTTGCCAAAGTCACCCTGGCAGCTTTCTGCTCTTCAACGCCCATCTCGCAATTTGTAGGTACCCGGCTTCTTCTTCAGAGTTCTTGAAATCGACATAGCATTAATTTCAACGGTTGCCTCCAAGTCGTCCTAGATCATTCCATCATTTCCATCAATAGCCTCCACAATCTCAACCCAAGTGGAGGCTGTTCATTAAATTGTGGAATTGAAAATGAAATAATGGCGGCGACCCTTGGAATGCCAATTTCAAAAAATCTGAAGGGAAAAGTGCGGTAAACCAAAACATCTGCGAGATGGATGCCTCGTCTAGCACATGCTTGACGCATTGAAAAAAAAAATGCGCATAACACGTTGAATTCATTCCTTGTGTGAAATAATGTTTTTCTGAACAACAATTGCTTTCCAGCTCGATCGTGCGCAGTTTCAATTTATGTTTCTCAGACCCCCATTCATATGTTTCAACGTTTTCTCAAATGTACCAACTTCTGTATCGACACTCAACGACTCACGAGGTCTAAATAAATAAATTCAGATTGGTAAATTTGGCACTCCCGGATTTCCGTTAGTTCGAGCAGAATATCAGCAACTAATTATAAATAATATTCGTAGATATTACCGATTTCTTTCTATGCTGTGAAGACACTGCCCGGTGTTGGGATCCCAGACACGAAGAGACCCTCCAAGACACACGGAAACAACTCGACCATCGCTCGACCCCAGACATTCGATTTCTTGTACATGTCCCGACAATATCAACGGCACTGCCTCCATGAAAAGCTGCAGAGCACAAATAGAATACATCAACTCAGGGCATCGGCAATAAAAAAAATGAAAATTCCGAGTCACGACGACAAACCTGAGTGCCATCATCATCGATCGAAGGTGCTTCGCGTTGCTGAGATCCCCACCACGAAGATGACCGCCATTCGGCATAATGTCTAGTGCAGACACAGCGGTATAAAACCACTGCCAAATACGCCAAAAAGAACAAGGTCGGAACAGCCAAGAGACACGCGTAGACGACTTGCAATGGTGACTGCGGAACATAGGCGGATCCGTCCACACCCCAGTACCCACTGGTGTCAAGACCAGGTGGTAACGTCTTTCTCAGCTCAGTCGCATCTGCAAAAAAAATTTAATAAATTCCATGAGCAAAAATATCAAGATCACTACCAGCACGAATCAGAGCCTTCCGTAAATTCTAAAAAATAAAGACTCGACCGTCCTCAATTTCGTCACCTGATTTGTAGACATTAAAACGGAAAATCTACCTCCCAAACTCACCTAAATTCCACGAAGACATTAACATTCAGACGCACTATTGATCACACGTCGCGCTAAAATAAACTTGAGTATCGCATACCGTACACGGATAACCCGTTGTATTTTCCAGCTCAGAAAAGCGAGAAAAAACCCGGGATGAAAGCTTGAGCGAATTCTCATCATGACACAGCAGACCAACAGAAAACAAAAAAATAAAATCTTCAGCTCAACTTTGCTTTTGATTTAAGCACAACTATCATCCCTACCCTTTGAAACACTGACGGCCAGAGAAGGAGATGCTCAATACAATGGGGTCCCGAGATGCGGACGTAATAATGCTTGAACTTCGTCCCTACGTCGGAACGTCCACACGTCAGATCACGTTTTCTCTTAGACTTCAATGGGAATATATTATTTGGTTCTCCTGTTCATAAAAAATTATGAAAATTCGCCCTAAAATTAAATAAAAATAAATTTTCTCAACTTCAAGATACCGAAAGTACAAGTGCAAAAGAAAAAAAAAAAACAAATAAACTGATCTTTTGGTATGAAAAGGAGCCCATAAATCAAAGGTAAGGACAAGCCTTCTGATAATCTGATCAGAAGATGGAAAAAACTTCGGAAAAACGAGCATAAAATTAGCCTGTTTCGGGCTATGAAATACTGTACAGTATAGTGAACTTATAAACAAAAATATTTTAAATTTCTGTGAATGCGGTACAAGGAGGTCGATTTCTTCACAGGATATCCGAATTTGGAAAAATAAAATTTTTCATTCGGATAAAAAATTTGGTGAAGCGTCCTGTATCAAAACATTTTCCGGGTGTCACGTAGATTATTGTTTAGTATAAGCGTCCCCAAGTCGAATCGTACGCATGGCGGGGCCCTCGCTGTACTTGGAGGAGGAAATCATTTTCCGTAGAACCCAAGAGGTTGAATTTGATGGTATTTCAAACGTTATATTGTACTGCTTTACGGTTATGCTATGACACACCAAAATAGAAACGGAATAAAAGCAACCCAGATAAATTTATCGAAATTGAAATTTGACCTAGCGTAATCTAACTTCTTTGACGTTCACGACTCCTCACTGATTTTCGACCTTGAACTGCATCGCAACGGCGAAACGTATCTTGATCTACAGAAGCGACGAGCTTTTCAGCCGTAGATATACAAAAATACTTCAGAGAATCACGAAATCGACAAAAATTTGTCTCATTCTCTTTCGGCCAGGAAAAGTAACATCTCAACATTCCCACAAGGTTCAAAGACTATGATATACAGGACGGCAATTGCAACGTATGACTCCACAACAAATATCCGTAAGAAGAGCCCCTCGCAATTTAATCAATGAATCATGGGGAGGACAAAATATTATGTACTGTACAGTACTTTCACATGCTTTTGAAAATTGTGAGCCATGCAAAATGAACAACCAAAACTTGAATTCCATGCTTTATACAAGCCATAAATTGATTGAACGTCGCGAATTTCGCTTCTCACAAGTTCATCTAAAATGATGTCAATATTCCCTGCAATCGCGAATATCACATGATGTCGAAAGACGATCACCGCATTTTCCCACAATAAAAATCGTTCCCTGTGATCTCAGGGCGCCAAATTGACCTTAGAACTATGCTCCAGACTACCACTACAGATAAGACTGGTTATCCACGGCAACAGACTTGGACCCGGCTCATTTATGCCATATCACTGCCGGCTTATATCATTTTACATGTACAGAGCAAGACTTTTCGAGATCATCCAGGGCCAGAAGTAAATTGTACTTTCGGATCAATCGGAAAAAAATCCCGAGAAATTAAAATTTCATTCTTTGAAAATACCCAAGCTTCTGATTCATTGGTTATTTCTTACAAGTGGACTTCGTCTACAGCGAAATTCAAGGGACCGGGAAACAAAATCGTGGCAGAGAATCCCGATAACATTCAAATCCACACTCACGGACCAAAATCAATTCGTTATTCACAAAAAATCGTTGTAGAGAGAGTCCACCTAAATAAGAACGCCCCTCACAACGAGCAAGCGTATATCCCATAAAATGCTGCCTTTGCAAACCACGAAATGAACAGCAAATCCGCATTTTCCGGAAGAATTACTGGAACGACGAACTGAATTTAACCACAAACGGGAAGGCGGTGGACAGTTGCAGTACTGGAGGTACTGCGAGGAAATTCGGCATCATTTGAGTGTTCCACATTTGCTTCGCTACTTTTTTTATCATTCGTTCACCGCCTCTCTCACTCAATCCTTCACTTCATCAGTGAAGTTGAAAATATAATAGACGAATGAATTTTTCACTATTATCAAGTCGAAGAGTTCGTGAGTTTTTGTGAAACAACGACTTTGCATGGTCAGAAAACGTCCAACTTGATTTTTCTCTTAAATCATGAAAATGCGCGTCCCATACAAAGAACGCCACGGAACAACAGCAATAGAAAAAAGAAAAAAACCATTGGAAATGACGAACACGGCTTGTACGCAATCTTCTTCATCAAATGATAAGGGTACCCTTGAATTTTTAAGAAGATCCGAAAGAAAATAAGACACACTTACCATGAATATCAGCGGCATCCAGACCCATGTTCCACGTCCTGAATTCGAAATTCTTGCTAACTTCAGCGTCTTTCGCATTCCGTAGCTTCAGAGCTTCATCGAGACCGACACTCGCAGTCAGCAAAATTGGCGGCAAGACAGTTATGAACCTGTCCCACACAGAGATGCCGTACAAGTCAAACACGGCTTTCCAATGTCCAGGAGCCAGTCGTTTCCACGCAGACGCCGCCGAGGACGAAGAAGACTCCGTTTCTTCTTCAATCACAACCACCTTCTTCAACTCCACGATCGTCTCCGTCGCTGCTTTTACCTCCTCGGCCACAGCAGAAACATTTGCAACTGGAAAGTTCCCCAGGGCCCCGAGCATGCCAACGACGAACAAACGATACGCCACCAAGGAGAACCAAATGAGCATGAAAGCGATGAAACATCTTTGAATCACTCTCCAACGTGCCCAGAAGAACACCAGTCTCAACCGACGGGGCAATGGGACAGTAGACGCTGGGGCGACAACGTAAGTGGGATAATGTGACCGGAAGACGGACAGATCGGCGAGACAAGTCGCAGCTGGCCTAGCTGCAACCAAGGCCTCCATTCGTTTCAAATCCACACTCAGAATCGGAGCGAAAAAAGTCATTTGGAGAAAGAAATCCGAAAGTGTCCCAGCCAGTACGAGGAGACAAAACGGCTGGATCCACGGCACGAACAGAAAGAAGCCAATCGTAACAATGGAAACTTCCATCAGCAAGTTCTTCGTAATGCTCCAGCCTTCTTTGTTCAATCCCTTCGCGATCTGGATCTTGACGTCCAAGTGACTCTTGGACTGCGATACAACACTTCTCGTGACCACCAGAATATTTTCCAAACCGATCAAAACGATCATGTACGGAAACAGTTCAGTTCCCGTCCACACTATGCGAAGACCAAGTCGCGCACAGATCCCGACAGACATGCACAACGACAAAAACACTGTCACCAGGGCAGCAAAAGCTATCCCGAGCTTTGAGCGCAGTTGCTCGAGCTTGTGCACGCTGAAGTAAATGTACAAGAAAACTGCGAGATACGCAGCTGTCAGCGGCATGGCAAACATGAAACCATTCTTGGCCGCGTAAAACCGGTGCACCACGATTTCCTTTTCATCGACGCGAAGCGGCACATATTTTACTTCCAGCCGCTTCCTCAGCTCGTCGATAAAACTTGAAAAGAATAAAACACAGAAAGATGCTCACGCTTTAGCACAGGACGACGTCAAACGATTCGTTCGACAAAAACTGCAATTGCAATTTCAATATTCAAGAGTTGCACAGAAAAAAAAAAACATCCGAATTGTAACTACAGTACACTTCAACCTCTTTGAGTGGAACTTCAAGGGAACAGCTGAAAACCTCGAGTGCGGAACAAAAAGCGTAATGCTGAGGGAAAGATAGAAGAAATACAGGACTTGTAATTGATAATATTCCAGAACTTAAATTACTTCTTAAATGATTTGACAAGATGCTGAACTTGGAGGCACGGGTTCATTTGCTCAATTAGGTTTCCAGTTCCTTTCAAAGCATATGAAGAAAAATTTTTATCGATTTTTTTCTCTTTCCTGTGTGAATAAATAATAGCTGAAAGGCGTCCAGAATATTTGAGTTACGGGGGTTTGAGAGGGGGAGGGGGACCTTCGAGTTCGACGGTTTCCATGCATTCAGACAATGAGGGTATTAAGACAGGAACTTGAATAAAATTCAACATAAAGAGGTCCGATTTACCCAGGTTCAACCGTAAAATAATGCTTACTGAAAGTCGTATTTCGAGAGAAGAACATTCACAGCAAATGTCAGCGTTCTCTTCCGATTCTGTGAGGGATACCGCTTCAAACCGCTTTCTTTGAAGGGGATTCCGAAAAAAACCTCCGCTAAACTCACACCGGACTTCTTCACGCCCTTCATAAGGAAAAAAAATGTTAGGATCAAATGAAGATAAATGACACATCATGAGGAGACACGCGATTCCACGAAGTAGCACCTGTAGATTATGTAGCGTGCCCAGGAAATTCGCATCATCAATGAAGTTTTGCAACCCTTGACTCCAGCAGGACGCCGGAGACAGCACGAGGCAATTGAACCTCGGTAAAAGATTCGTGAAGTTCGATGCGAATGCTCCAACAGGCTCATCCACGTGGAAACAAACATCTTTCAAGCTCACTCTGCAAAAAGTGCGAGTTATCAGTACAATGAGACGTTAATTAAATAATCTTCATTGATGAAAAAAATTAGAAATACAACAAACAAAATCAACTGACTCATTCGCAGCCTTGAAGTCTCCCACAGTATTCGCTACATCGAATGCGACTCCGATAGGACCTCGGAAGGCATCGGTAAGCAACAGTTCTTCTTTCCAGTGAGAAATTGAGGCTTGAACAACAATTTGCTGCACATACGTCAGAGGTTCGGCGCCGGCTCGGTACCACTCAGGGACCGAGAAATTGGCAAAACTGAATCGCCCATGCGTTGCAAATCCGTTACGAAAACTTTGCGCCGGAACAACAGTGTCCTTCGGCATGTGCCATGGCACCGGTATGTTGAATAAGGGATAACTTCGACAGAAAAGAACAAAAACCGGGAAATCAACTCATTAAACAATGGTTGAATAGTGACGTAAAATTTCCAAAATCGTGGAATTAATCGTCGATAAACCGTCTTGAATTTCAATTCCAAATTTCAGAATGAAAATCACCGACTACGTCACGCACGCACGAACTCAGGGATAAACCGAACTTCTCCGAAAATGCATCATCAACAAAGAAAACGACTCACCAGCAAAGAAGTACAACAGTGATGGCAAATACGATCAGTCGTACGGGGTGGCTCGCGCAAACGACGCCGTACCCGTAATAGAGCCTGTTCACGCGGTCAGGGATGATCATCCCACGAACGAACGACTTATCATAACTCCCAAGAAATCGCGCTTATTTCAGCTCATCAAAGAGCACATGATTCAGCACAATTCTTTTCTCTGCATCAAACAACTGCGAACGAAGATGAAGTTTGTTGAATTCGGGACACAAAGAATACGCAATTTAAAGCCGCGAAGGGGCAAAAAAATCAACACGACAATGCATTTCGGGACTTCACACTTGGAAATAAGAGATTGCGCTTAGCGATTACTTCCAGCGGTTGGTGCCAATATTGTTCGCTGAACCACGGGTGAGCCTAGCTTTGACCTGCTTTTTCGTTTTGTCGAGCATGGGGGTAGATCTACCAGGGTTGAGCACGTCACCGGCATCACCACATTCACCATCTTCTTTATTGGAACGTTGATTCATCCGAATGCTAGCGACCTGAAATGTGAGGAGGCACAAGACAAAATTTCATATCGTCTCTTTTCAAATATAATACTAGTGGAAGTCTTCAAATTGTCAGATCCGAACCTGCTGCTCCAAGGAAGTTCTCACGGTAACGTGTGCTTCACGGGCTTGGTTCGAAACCAGAATCTGTTTCTGCAACGATCCGAGCAGCGTTTCGCAAGTATCACACCACGCCTCTAGGGTATTAATAATTGTCTTCTTATCTTGATCTTCGACATCACGTCCAATGACGAAGCTAACCTCTACCATATTTCTTTTCTGATCCAACTTGGCTTGGATTATACCTGCAAAAATTTGCTTTGCAACATCGAACATCTTGGAGAATAATCGAAAACACACCAGCGTAACAAGATTCTATGATCAAATCTTCCAATTCCCGAACACTGACGATTTCGAGGCCGTCTTGTAGAGTTGAATAGGGAATGCTTTTCTCTCTTGTCGCAAGAGTTACCACAGTGAGATGACGAAGTTTCTGAAGTTGTGCAGCCGAAAGCGCGGGAAATTCTTTTTCCCGTTCCTTATAATTTTTCACTGTTCCATAAGCAAATATACGCAGGAATTCAACCCACGTTTGATGAGGTCCGTCCTTCAGCTTAAATGATACAAATGTTTCTGAATCTGTGGTCGGTCAATACAAATCATACTCCAAACTCACGGCTGAGATGTTCGGCATGCGAAGAAGCTCACCGAATGTATAAACGCCCGGAGCTTCCGTTACTCTTCGGATTAGATCAACTGCGGCAGCTCCATGAGCGGATTTGGCGAGAAGAAGATACTCCTCGAGTCTGTTCGAAACCGTCGTCGATGGCTTATCTTCATTCGCATGAAACATGGCCATTCGCTCGAGAACTACGAATAAAATAAATGTCTAGAACGAAAGAAGCAGAGCGATTGGTTCACATCGAGCTAAAATTCACAGCGGTTGAATTGGAAATTCTGTCGGTATTCTTAACGCCCTTTTTGGTCGGGCACCAATATTCCTGGAGCAATATACCGTACAATATATAACGCAAGGACGCGCGATATTCCTCGCGAGATAAAATATGATAGAAGATCATCTAACCGGGCGCACCAGAAATTCAATTTTAAGAACACCCCCGTCATAATTATCATAAAAATGGACTTTTGTCGTGAAATATCCACAATATGCAATGGAACTTAATTGCACGGATTCACGGCTTCGCAAAAACAGAGCATAGCAGTCTAAAGGTATGAGTCACATACGATTTCTGCTAAGAATACGGAACCATACATTTACAAAATTACACTCCATCCACAAAACTAAGATGCCGTTTTAATTGAAGGAAAAGGTTGGCACTCCGGGCTTCCCTTGGGAATTCTGACTAAGGCTCGCTTGATGGCACCTCAACAGTGGACCGAATCCTCCTGGTCGATTTCAAATGTCGACGCGGTTTCCAGCGCTGCTCCTGGGACGCTGCTGGCATGCCGGTCTATCTCCTTCCAACGCCACTCCCTTCTTCACCGCCGGTTATGAGTGACTTCAAAAACTCCCAGTTACACGTGGTACCTTGCAATTTGACTCTAATCCCTTGCGAAACTATATGGTCAAATTGCGAATTGGTCAAATTGCGAAACATTCCATGAAATGCAAACACCAAAGTACAAAAACACAAAAAAATGGCCAAAGCTGAATTGTGGGGCAAGCAAAGAATTGCAAGTCAACCTCCCTGCAAATTTGACCATACAATTGTGGGAAGCTGTCAAAATGCAAGAGGTTGAATTGTGAAGTACCACCTGTACTTTTTTTCTGTACAGGGCTGGATGGTGAAGGATCCTGTATGAAGTCTCCTCAGTGCTCATGGCATGTATAAAATATATGACATCATTTGTTTTGTGTGGAGTGATTCAAGAATTTTCTGCATACAGCACTTTCAATACTAATTCAGGGATAGACATTTCAGAGCTGGATGCTTCAGAGCTAGAAATTTCAGAGCTAGACATTTCAGAGCTAGACATTTCAGAGCTAGACCTTCCAGAGCTAGATGTTCCAGAGCTAGACATTCCAGAGCTAGACGTTTCAGAGCTAGATGATTCAGAGCTAGAGGATTCAGAGGTAGACGTTTCAGAGCTAGACATTTCAGAGCTGGATGTTTCAGAGCTAGATGTTTCAGAGCTATACATTTCAGAGCTAGACATTTCAGAGCTAGACGTTTCAGAGCTAGATGATTCAGAGCTAGATGATTCAGAGCTAGAGGTTTCAGAGCTAGAGGTTTCAGAGCCAGTTGTTTCACAGCTAGATGTTTCAGAGCTAGAGTTTTCAGAGCTAGATATTTCAGAGCTAGATGTTTCAGAGCTAGAAGTTTCAGAGCTAGAAGTTTCAGAGCTAGATGTTTTAGAGCTAGACATTTCAGAGCTGGACGTTTCAGAGCTATACTTTTCAGAGCTAGACGTTTCAGAGCTAGACATTTCAGAGCTAGATGATTCAGAGCTAGACGTTTCAGAGCTAGTCGTTTCAGAGCTAGATGTTTCAGAGCTAGACATTTCAGAGGTAGATGTTTCAGAGCTAGACGTTTCAGAGCTAGGCATTTCAGAGCTAGAGGTTTCAGAGCTAGACGTTTCAGAGCTAGACATTTCAGAGCTAGAGGTTTCAGAGCTTGAGGTTTCAGAGCTATACTTTTCAGAGCTAGACATTTCAGAGCTGGATGTTTCAGAGCTAGATGCTTCAGAGCTAGATGATTCAGAGCTAGACGTTTCAGAGCTAGACGTTTCAGAGCTAGATGTTTCAGAGCTAGACATTTCAGAGCTAGATGTTTCAGAGCTAGATTTTTCAGAGCTAGGCATTTCAGAGCTAGAGGTTTCAGAGCTAGACGTTTCAGAGCTAGACATTTCAGAGCTAGAGGTTTCAGAGCTTGAAGTTTCAGAGCTATACTTTTCAGAGCTAGACATTTCAGAGCTGGATGTTTCAGAGCTAGATGTTTCAGAGCTATACATTTCAGAGCTAGACATTTCAGAGCTAGATGTTTCAGAGCTAGATGATTCAGAGCTAGATGATTCAGAGCTAGAGGTTTCAGAGCTAGAGGTTTCAGAGCTAGAGGTTTCAGAGCCAGTTGTTTCACAGCTAGATGTTTCAGAGCTAGAGGTTTCAGAGCTAGAGGTGTCAGAGCTAGAGGTTTCAGAGCTAGAAGTTTCAGAGCTAGACATTTCAGAGCTAATATCTTGTCTGAGCAACATTTGCACCTAAGAATATTGAAAAATTTAATTTTCACCATACCTTATGACTGCAGAGGTTCCATTAATTTCCTTCAGGATTATTCCTTTGCAATACAGAGCATTAAATCATGTTGACAATAATTGTATGTTTGCTCATCCTAAATGTCATCCATGCTAGATTGAATGTGAAGCAAGAAGAAAATTGTTATGATGTTTACAGATTCAGCCTCAGATTGCATGAGTCTTCATGTATACATAAGTTTTGATGAATTTGTATAATTTTCAATGGATGTATTCAGAAGAAAAGTGGTCACATATATACTATACATTTATTGAATTTGGTAAAATTTTGATTGATTTTGGGGGCATTCCAGTAAGATGCAGTTTACAGTCATAATGATGAGACTGTTATCATCGGGAAAATACCTGCCATGAGAAGCCATGCTTGGAGTCGGCAAAGAGAGTATCTGTCGCCAGGTAAGGATCCTCTGAAGAGGGTTGAAAAAGAGGAGATATGAACTCTTTCCAGATGGGGTCTGGGGGGCGAGGCAGGCCACAGACTGGAACTAATTCCCATGTGTTTGCTCTGCAAATGTCCTTTCCGGCGCCGACGTGGTATTTGCTGTGTCCGAGATTCCGGATCACCATGAAGGGACCAAACTGCTGAATGCGGAATTGGCGGTCCGCTGCGTGCTGCTTCACCGTAGGTAGTCTGGGACGGATGGCAACCATTTTGCAAGGTTGGAAGTGGGGCCACTTGCGTTGGTTAGCCAAGGCAAATAATTCTTCCCGGGCCTTGGCGTTCACCTGTGGGATGCAGGCAAGTTGTTCAGTAATTTCCGGCGGCGTTACTCCAAAAGTTTTGTCTGACTCAAGAGTTGCCGGTTTCTGAAAAAAAGCTTCTGCCGGTGTTACCCCTGTGGAGGAATGTATAGTATTGTTATAAGCTAAGACTGATTTAAAAATGTGTTGATCCCAGGAGGGGCTGTCGCCTTCTGTTGCTTTGGCTTGCACTTGAGTGAGTGTGCAAATAGCTCTTTTGCAGCATCCGTTTCCTTCTGCATGTGCAGCTTGGGCGACATGTTGCTGGATGCCCGCATCCCTCAAGAACCATTTGAAAGCCTGTGAGCGGAAAACAGAATCACAGTCCGTGTGGAAAATTTCAAAAAGGCCATACTGTCTAAAGATTTCTGCAAGAAGTGGAATAACAGTAGGAGCGTCAGCATTAGAAATTGGTTGCATTATCATGTATTTGCTTGTTATCATTGGGAAAATACCTGATGATATACACACACACGTGAGCCCACGTGAGCTCAGAGTTGTAAATAATAAAACGACTCTGAACTGGGTCGTAGTAAAAAGAATAATCTACGACTCAGGTGAAACAAAGAAGACAAGAGAAAAGAAGGAAGAGATTAATTGCTCTTCCTGACGAGGCAATTCTCGAGGCTAATATATCCAATATTTATTGTGTTATATATTAACCTTCCTGGAAGGACGTAGCCTTNTGACGAGGCGATTCTCGAGGCTAATATATCCAATATTTATTGTATTATATATTGACCTTCCTGGAAGGACGTAGCCTTGCATTCCATCCTCCCCTCCCAGGATCTGTCCCTCAATTAAGGAGTAAACTTCCTGGTACTTCCTGGTACACCTGACCTTGCCCTTGATATTCTGGAGTATATAAACTCCAGGAGCATCTTCACTAAATCAGGCATTAGTGCGCTGACCATTGAGTAGAATCCCGAGTAGGAATCCTCTGAGGTCTTGTCTTGTCTTGTGTGCTTATTGATGAAAGTCAATAAATATATTAACTGCTGGAAACTGGTGTTTACTCTCTCCACTATAAAGGATATACCAAACATTAACTACATCTAGAGAAGTGTAAATATACACAACAAATTTGGCGCACTTGGTACTCCTTTTTAGGAGGGGGAAGTGAACTTAGCAGTTTATAAGCTTAAAAAGCAGTAATTTTTCCAAGTGTTGAAAAAATAACTTCAAACTGACAAGTTTTGTGAAGTTTTGCCCCTGCTGGGATTGAAAAAGAAGTGAAATAGACGCCAGAGGGAAGAAGAACAAAGTGTGAAAAAAGTTCTTTGAACTTGACAAAGTTCAGTACCCGTGGTAAAACGGAAGAAAAGTATAAAGTACTGATTGCTTTGGCCAAAGCCGTCAGCAACTTAACTTTTACTCTCAAAGCAGACATGTTTTGAAAGAGTCATTTTGAAAAGACTTTAAAAATTCGAGAAGAAAGACAGTCAGCAAAAAGCGCTAATTGCCTGACTTTTTGACTTCGACTTGTTTTGAAAAATTTGCCAATTGGAGTAAATCCTTGGAAACATTGACTGTGATCGTGGAAAGTGTACCTAGTCCAAAGAAAAATTTATAGATTCCTCTGTGCCGCATCCGTAGTCGCACTTTGGAAAT